CTTTATGTCCTCCTTAAGCTCCTGAAACATTCTTATCATCAGTGTTCTAAACTCTGTCTCTGAAAGGTTGGATACCTCTGTTTCATTTAGTTTCATTTCTTGAGGTTTCTTCTGATCTTTTACTTGGGACATGTTTCTTTGTTTCTTCATTCTGGCTGTCACTCTGATTGCTTTGATGTATTAGATTACCTGAGAACTCTGCAACATTGGTTCTCAAAGTGTGATTCCCCAGGCCAGTAACTTCAGCATCACCTGGGAACTTGGTAGAAATGCCTCCAGTGGACATTCTTAACCATCTCTTCAGTATCCTTCCAGAATTTCTGTGCTCATACATATATACCTGTTTTTAAAATCACAGATGGCCGTTTACTGTATAGCCTGTTCTGCATTTTGCCTTTTTCACTGAGTTTGTAAAAACTCATCTTCTACCCTAGCGCCATTTCCTAAAGCAGTGTAATTCTCCATCATAATCACTGGCTAGTCCTCACTGATGGGCACCTAGCCTCCTCCGGGGTCTTGCTGCTGTCACAAAGGGTGCTGCACGCAGCAGCCTCTCTCCAGGCTTTGTGCATCTCCATAGTTATATCTGTTAGATGGATTCCTGAAGTGGAATTGCTGGCCATAGGGGTAGCACGTCTGCTTAAAGTTTTGGCAGCTATTGTCATGCTACCCTATAAGGTGCCACACTCGTGCTGTGACTGGTGGCAGTGTGTGGGATATCCCTCCTCTCGCTTCCACTAATGACCCACTGTGGTCCAGGGAGGCATTAATTTACATCCATGGCAGAGGGCTCTGCACACCACACCTGTCCACAGTTTGACCCCATGTGTCCACACTCAACCCCACCTGACCCAATGTGACCACATTTAACTCATCTAGCTACGCTTGACCCCATATGGCCACATTTGACTCCACCGGGACACACCAGACTCCACCTGGCACATCTGGCCACACCTGACCCACTTGGCTGTAGCTGAACCTACCGGGCTACAGTGTTCTGGAGACCCTGGTGCCAGGCTTCCAAGCCTTGAGCTGTATTTCAAGGTAGTGAGAAGCTCAGGCATGTGCAGCAGGGCTAGGAGGAGGCTAGTGGTTTATAGTTAAGTATCTGAGACTGAATTCATAAAATACTGTTTTTGTTTTTCATAGGACGGAAGAAGAGAAGAAAGAATGGATTCAGGTGAAGCTCCTAAAATTTTAAAGGAACCAAATGACCAAATTATTGAGCAATATGGCCTTTTCCTGTTGGAGCAAGGGGTTGGATAGCCCCGTGAGCCCCAGGCATCGCCTACTGATCTATCTGCCTGGAAATGATGGAATGACCGTGTTTATAAGCATCTTCAGACACCAGGAGCCTTTCAATCCACTCACTTGTTTGCCCCCCAGTAAATAAACACAAAGGGCCTGGAGGTGGGCAGACAGGGAGGTGCCCTCACCCCGGGGGGATTGCCATTCTCTGGGAGCTCCAAAGGGAGCCCAGTTGCCCTCTCTCCACAGCCAGCAGGATGAGCAGAGTGACTTTCAGGACAGAGCCTTGCTTCCAGGGACAGGACAGGCAGAGAGGTAGGCAGTGTCCTGGGGCAGCAAAAGCAAGTTGCTCAGGACCAGCCACAGTGGGGACCCAGTGGGCAGACAAGCCTGTGCAGACGCAGGTCAAGAGGGCTGAGCAGAGCCCAGCATGGCCACAGCCAGGCCAAACATTAAGTGTTAGGCCCTGTGGCTCCCAAAATTCATAGAACAGATATCTGGGTAAGAAGAGAAAAAGGAAATTCAGAGATCAGTTGGAAATGTTGATGCAGGAAATGGTAACATGGCCTGGAATCCACATAGAACCTTTTCAGGAAACATCAGCCCTAGGCCTGGAGCACCATGGGAGAGAAACTGGCCGCTTGTGGTGTGGCTCTGGGACCCATGGGATAGGGTGTGAGGACCTGGTTGGCCATTGGTCATGACCCCAAGCCTTGTTTCCTGATCTCAGAGTGGGGCTTTTGCCAACATCTGAGGTCGCTGGTCAGGGGAAAATGTGGTGACTACAGGACCTCGTCCTCAGGGAGAGAGGCACCATGCCTGCCTTCCCATACTCACGTGCTGAGGGCTCTTGTTCTTCGTGGTCTGGTTTCAGGTCATCGGAGCCACCATCGAGAAGCACAAACAGAACAGCCAGACCTTCAAGGCCTTCAGCGGCTCCTTGGGCCAGGACGAGGACCCCTCCCCATCTCCAGACCCTCCTGTGAGCGCCAGAACCCCGGGAGTCCCTGGGAGGTGGGCTGCAGGCACCCAGGCAGCCCAGGCCTGCTGCACAAGAACTGGTGTCTGGGAGAGAGGCTGCCCTGCCACCCCAGCTCTCCTCATGTCTCTCAGGAACCTTGGTGCTGTGATCTTATCAGTGGAACAGCTCATCTGTCTCTCCCCAGAGGAGCTGCCTGGGGCATGGTAGGGGGCAGGGAGTCAGGGCTGCAGCATACCTCAGTCCTGGGGCCCTTGCCACCTCCTCTGTCTGGGCTTCAGGATGAGGCTCCCTCACTCCGTGCTTCCCAGCAGGGGTGTCCCTGAAGCCGAGGAACGCCCAGCCCAGCAGACCCAAGTCCCAGGCACCAGGCCCAGCCGGCCCTCCTGGGGCTTAGCTGGGTCTTGGCCTACAGGCCACCTACTATTTGCTTAATATTGACATCAAATCTCTTCGATTTTTTCAGCTTTCTGGACTATTTGAAAGAAAGCTGCATCTCCCCTGGGGAGGAAAAGCACTGCTGCCCCCTGCAGTGAAGGGAGGTGACCTGGGAACAAAATACCCATTTAATGTGCCATTGTAGTCAGCACAGAGGCAAAGCCCAACCACAGCGGGCAGGCACACAGCTCTCCACTAGGACTCCTGAGGAAGGAACTAGGACCAGGACTGCTCACTGCCGTGGTGTGATAAGCCTTTCCCCCACCCTGTGGTCAGATGAGGGCTGCGCTGTTCCCAGCACTGCACAGGATGTTAGTGTGTGGCCATGGAACCTCCTCCACTCATGCCAGCTGTCTGTCCCTTTCAGATAGTGACTACCAGCTCTGAGGAGCCTGCAGTGGCAGCTGACAGTGGAGGGGGTGTTGCAGGGGTGAGTGACTCCCAGCAGGGGTGAGATGTAGAGGGTTGGGTCAGACCAGGGTGAACTGTGTGACCCAGATCTCCATACTGATGACCCTGGGGCTTTTTGGTGGTGTTAGGGGGAGCCCGTTGGGACTCCAATACACTCCTGGCTGCACACCCCTGCCCCGCCACACCTCCTCCATCCCACAATGGTTGGCTTTGCCCCCCCCCATCCCTTGGGGATACCCTCTTGGTCCCCACAGCCTTCCTGTGTTCTCAGCAGCTGTGGAGTGCTGCCCACAGGGACCCAAGAGCTTCGGTTCTGCCCTTGGGCTTAGGCGCATGTCTGGGCTCGCAGACGGGACAGCAGGTCTAGCCATCCTGCCACTGACCATTTCCCACCACCTAGAAAACAGGGACAGTAGATTCAACCTGAAGTTTAGTGGAGGGTGGGGGCTTCCTGGCCACAGCAGACCCCCGGATGGCCTTGTCTCTCCTCTCCTTCCCTTCCCTAGGCCCCATGACCCTTCTCTCCCCTCTCTCCTTGTGCCTGACCCCCAGTAGTCCTGAGAGATAGTCTCCAGGGAAGGAGCCCTGAGTGAGGTGAGGAGCTGTGGTGGGGTGTGGCTGGCAGCCAAGGCCAGAGGTGGCCTTAGGGAGGACACATGGCCGTGGAGAGTGTCAGTTTTGCTTACGGGGTCTCTGACTCCCATTCTCCCCATGGCAGGGCTCTGTGGGCCTGAGTTCTGTGGGATAAGCAGAGAGGGGCCCCAGGACTGTCTTATACCCCATGTCCACAGGGCAGGGGGTCAGGGTCATGAGACAGAGGAGGAGCTGGGACCTTGGGCAGAGCAAACAGCCCCCTCTGAGGAGCCAGCTTGACCCTGGGTTCCTCGTTCAGATTGGTGCAGGCCTCACAGTGGTGGGGCCCATGAGGAGGGTGGGAGTTAGTGGAGGCCACATAGCGAGAAGGTTCAGGCCAGAATTTGCACCAAGATATTAGGATTAGTCAGCTGGGGCTGCTATAACAAAATACCACAGACCACGTGACTTAGATCACAGACATTTGTTCTCTCTCAGTCTGGAGGCTGGAAGTCCACTCCTCGGCCCCAGGAGAGCGCTGTCACGTGTGTGAGGCTGGACCGAGTTCATGCCCCTGAGTGCCCAGTGTGGAGTAGGTGCCAAGCCCCAGGGCCTAATGAATGACAGTATAGAATCAAGGGCAACAGACACCCCAGGCCCTGGCTCTGGGCCTCTAAGCAGATCAGCCGCCATCCCCCACAGCATGGGCTCCAGTCTTTTCAAACACATCAGGTTAAGTCACTGGCCTCTGCGTGGGGTACAATCATCCCAGGACTAGAGTTACAGATCCAGATAGAAGCTCACTCTGTGTGACAGCAGAGTGGCCTCTGGGGAGCAGGCCTGGGCAGGCCATGGCCAATGGGGCTTCCACTTCATTCCCTTGTCCACATCCAGCTTTTTGCCCTGCATGTGCATTGTCTGTGTATCACACAACCACCCCTCCAGCGTGCCAAGAAGCTGACTGCTGCCATTTGCCTCCCGTAGCTTGAGTCCAGGAAAGAGTCCTCTAAGACCAGGCGTGACAAGGAGAAACAGGGCTGCAGGGGCTGTGGTGAGACCTTCAACTCCATCACCAAGAGAAAGCACCACTGCAAGCTGTGTGGGGCGGTGAGTGTGGGCGGGAGGGGGCCTGCCTGGGTGATCCATGTTCTTGGAGCCTCTTCCGTCTTCTTTCTGGGCACGCAGACCCCCGCCTGGATCCTGGGCCCTCCTGCCTTGGGGCCTCCACGCTCCAGCAAGGATCCTAGACCCCATGGCCTATAGGGAAACCCTTCCCCTCCGCCCACTGTGTTTCTGTGGCCCTTCCAGCTTCTTCCAGGACAGTCTTCTGTCCCCAGGAGGTAGGGTCACAGGTGCCCTCTGTCTGGCAGGTCATCTGCGGCAAGTGTTCCGAATTCAAGGCCGAGAATGGCAGGCAGAGCCGAGTCTGCCGAGAATGTTTCCTGGCACAGCCATTGGTCCCTGCAAGCCCCAGCCCCGAGGTTTCCGCCGAGTCCAGGCAGAGCACTGAGGAGGTGGGTGTCCTGTGAGCCTCCCAGACACGAGCTCCCCACCCCCGGCAGCCGCTGCTAACTGTGCTCCTAGAGCTGTCGGCTTACCTTGGGACCAGGACTGATCAGCTCCATGAGGTCCACAGGCTGTTGGGAGCAGCTGGCAGTGGAATGCTTAACATCACACGTGTGTATTGGACTTCTCAGGGTCTGGTCACTGCCAAGGGTTTGGGAGCCACTTGGACCCAAGAGTTAGATGGTGTGTTAGTCAGCTCAGGTTGTGTGACAAATGCTACAAGCAGAAATTTATCTCATAATCTTGGAGGCTGGAAGTCCAAGATCAAGCTACGGGCAGGCCTGGTTTCTCCTGAGGCGTGTAGAGGGCCGTCTTCTTCCTGTGTCCCCACAGGGCCATCCCTCTGTGTGTGTCTGTGTTCCAATTTCCTTATAAGGACATGAGTCATATTGGATTAGGGCACATCCTACGACCTCATTTTTTTTTTTTTTAGCTGAGCCATCCTGCCACCTGTTGGCAGCTCAGCGGCTGCTCAGCTTGGGCAGGGACTCGAACCACTGTTGTTCAGAGCTCAAACTCTTGAGCGAGCTCTTGACCAACTGAGCCACTCAGCCAGCCCTTGACCTCATTTTGACTTAATTACCTCCTTAAAGGCCCCATTTCCAAATACAGCCACACAGGGGGTTAGGACTTCAACACATGGATTTGGGGGCACACAAGTCAGCCCATAGCAGATGGGAACAAGTGTCATCTGCACTCATGGTCATCCTGCTTGGACCTGGAGGGGAGATGCACCCGTGCGTCGCTGGAGCCGTTGGGGCAGGAAGGGCACCAACTCCCTCCTTGCCTCCTGCCCCCCTGAGGATGTCCACTGCTTTCCCTTCAAGGGCACAGTCCCTGTTTTATGGGGTGGCAGGAAAGTTGGAAAAGAGAAAACGTGGCTTGCAAAAAAGTGCATTTCTCCATTCTCTCCACATAACACAGACTGTGGTTCTAAAGCCAGATGCATACTGGGGTCTCCTGGGAAGCTGTTTGTAATATTGGCTTTCCCCTACAAACTGTTTCAGGGGGTTGGCCTGAGTGGGCCAGTGTGGCTGGAGCACTGCCTGACTGTGTCTTAGAGATCAAATTTGTAAGTGTATTAGAACCGAGTATAGAACCATCTCAACAGTTAAGCCCCTCTCTTGGCCCTGCACTTTCAGCACTGAGTGTCTGGAAGGCCCAGGTCTAAGCAGGGACCAGATCTTCAGGTGTGTCTGAGGTGCTTTCTGATAGCTCAGGGTTTATGTCCATGACTGCTCTAAACATGTCAGAGAGAGGAGGGGGATGTGTGCATGTGCATGGTGCATGGTGTGTGTATATATATGTGTGTGTGAGTGTGCGTGTGTGTGCATGGTGTGTGTGAGTGTGCATTTTGCATGTGGTGTATGTGAGTGTGATTGTGCATACCTGAATCCCTCACAGCCCTTCCCTGTGAGCCACAGTCTGGCTGCAGCTATTCCATTTGTTCCTGTTTTATATCTATCCTGACCCCACTGGCGGCTGCATTCCCTAGGGAGTCCAGCCCAATCCTAGTGGCCTTACAGTGACCCTGGGGAGGGTCAGCTGACCCAGGCCCTTGTCCAGTTCATTTGTCCCTATCCCCTCATTCTCCGGAGGCAACTATGGCACCTCGCCATGAGAATGATGCTTGCAGAGAGACTGCACCAGACCCGACCTCTGTGTCTTCAGAAGCCAGTCTCTGCAGATTGCCTGCCCAGACTGCTCTGTGGCCCTCTGCGGGTGTTAGACAGTGTCTCGGCCTGCAGTGAAGTATGGGCTGCCATCCCCACGTCAGACCCCTTGGAACTCGTGCTGCACTGGCAGGGAGCCAGCCAGGTGTGTCTTGTGCACATCGGGCTACACTGGGGGTCCGCTCACTCCTGCAGCCCAGAGCCTCAGGCCCATGTGCCCAGAGGGGCCCGGGTCACGCTGCCTGGGAACAATGCCTTGGGAGTGGCTCACGTGACCTCGGGGCCCCAGCTTCTTGGCTGCCCAGAATCACCCCTCTGCTGTGATGGTATTTGGCGATGCCAGGACTCCAAAGGTCAGGGTACTGACTCTCCTCTCCTTTGCTGCAGGACAGCAGGCTGCCATGCGCCATCCCCATTTCTGGCTGCATGGTGAGTATACTGGACCTGGCAGAGAGGCTGGATGCTGGCATGTGTGGCGACTGCAGTAGGCCCAGCAGTCCGTGTACCTGAGTGCCCCATCCGCCGAGCCGGGAGCCCTGAGAGTGGTCGCCTGCAGGAACCTGACCCAGGCCAGCCCAGGGGCCCCAAAGTCCCAGGCCCCGGAGGCCCCATGAACTGAGTCTTGGCCATATCCTTGGCTCTGCAACCACCACAGAAGGACACATGCTCACCTGGGAGGTGGCCACAAATGCCACATTCAAAAGCTAAGGATGCCCCAACTGCTGAGGGACCAGTAGACCACAGGACACTTGGCTCTGGAAGGTCCCTCTGCTTCAGAGAGGAGGACACTGAAGCCCAGAAAGGGGCAGCCACCTATCCAGGGTCACCCAGCAAATCATGGGGAAGAGCCCAGCCTCTGCCCCCAGACCCAGCACTATGGCTTGAAGCGGCACACAGGGTGACTATCATGTAAACCCCGTCTGTGTGGCTGTGTGGGGACTCCGAAAGGCAGGAGTGTCATGGACGGTACCCAGGGACACCTGGTGGACGTCTGCAGTTGTGCTGTCCCTCCCATTACTGACCTGTTGTCTACACTGTCCACATCGTGTGAGTTAAGCCATGACTGGCCCCCAGACTCCACCTCCTTTTCTGTTGCCCACAGACCACCAGCCCATGCAGAGCCGCAAACAGGAGAGGGCAGGTGGCGAGCCTGGGCTGACCAGAAGGGACTTGTGGTTCCTGAGTAATCTCACTGAGAAACTTCATGGGAGGCCCCCCCAGTGTCACGTGAGGGCCTGAGAGTTGTGCCTATCTCCCCTAGTGGATGGCCAGCAGTGCTTATTTGCATAAATAAATGCAGGCAGCCAGCAGGTGGGTGCAGCCTGGGGTGGAGGCCCTGTAGGTAGGCCCACTCATGGTTGGGTGGGGGACGAGGGTGACAGAAAAGCACAGTGACTCAGGCCTGTGGAGTATAAGTCCAAGCCCCTTTGGGGGGCCCAGGATGAAAAGGCGTCAGATGGCTGGGCCTCAGAACAGGTGTGACACCTGGAGTTCTGCTCTGCGTCCCTGGTCATGATAGTGAGGGGGCCAGCAATGTGTGCCCATGTAGGAACAGGAGCATGGGGTGCAGGCATCCACAAAGAAGTTCAGAAGGTCACGGGGAGCAGCGGTGCCATTTGCACCAGAGCCCAGAGGCCTCAGGATAGAGAGGAGGAATTTAGGGACCGATGACTGAAGGGTCTCCAGTCCCTGGGGACACCCCATCCCTCTAACATCCACACAGCACCCTGGGTGATCCCTGTCACTGCCCAGCCATGGTCAGACTTTCAGAACGCCTACCTGGGGAGCTGAGAGGGCTGGCGTAGGAGCCAGAAATGGGCTTCTGGTCATGGTGAGGTGGGGGTGGGCACAGGTGAGGGGGACACAGGTGATTTAGAGGCCCAGATGAAGTGAGGGTAGGGCCCAGGGGAGGTGGGGGTGAAACCCAGCTGAAAGAAAGGGTTAAGGTGCAAGTGAGGTAGGGTACAATTGAGGTAGGCAGGGCACCGATGGGGTGGGGTGAGGGCCCAGGTGAGGTGGGCAGAGCCTAGGTGAGCTTATACTTGAGCCAGTGCTGCCCCTGCGGGCCCACCCAGCTATGTCTGGATGCTGCTGAAGCTGTGTACCTGCTGTATGCCTGCACCTCAGTCCCAAGCCTGAGCAGTCACCACCCTGCAGTGGGTATCCTGGCCCCACTTGACATCAGGGACTGGCCCAGTGGGATACAGAGGCCAGTCCCTTCCAGCCTTCTTGGCACCCTGGCCAGCCTCCTACAAATGCAGCAAAGCCTCTCACCCACAGGCTGGAGCAGGGACAGTGGGTAACTGAGGCCCACACTGGGCCAGTCTTGCCAAAACCCCAGGATGTTCCCACTTGAGAGAGGAAACTGAGTCACAGAGAGAAGACTGTGAGAGTCGCACAGCTCCAGACCGAGTGGGAAGCTGGATTTGACCCACTGGGCAGGGCAGCACTCAGCTGGGGTCTGAGAGGTGACACTGGGCACCCCACCCAACGTCCCGACAGCATGTCTCCTAGCGAGCTCTCGGTATCAGGGCAGCCCCTGCCCTCTCCTCTATGCCCACCAGCCTGCCTGTCCCCCAACCCCGCACACAGGTTTCCACAGTGATCTCGGGGAATCCTTTGGTCCAGCACATGGGAGAAGGGCAGGGAGGTGTCCTGCCCCCACATCTCTGGGCCTGCCAGGATGTTGTATTCTATCAAGGTCCACACAGCCTGTCCCACCTGAGGCCAGCTTCAAGGGTGAGGGCAGGAGGTGTCCCCACCAGCTATGGCTGCAGCAGAATGAGGAAACATGACCTCCTGTCAATTTCAGACAGTGTTGGCCCCAAGCTGCTGCCGATCTTGTGGGGAGACCCTGAGAAGGAGCTGTGCAGCCTCAGGATATGGTGCCTGGGTTTGAGAGGAACAGAAGCAGGGAAGGGAAATGGGACGCAGCAGGGGGCAGAGGTCCCTGGGAGTTCTCCTCCCTAGGACTCCCCAGGGCAGGTGTCCCAAGAAAGGTGCCCAGGTCAGGGCAGGGCCACCAAGACCTGGAGGAGTCAGCAGGAGGAGCACCTCAGGCTGCAGGAAGGTGGGGCCTGGTTGTGGGGTCTCTACGGGGTCTCCTTTGGCGTCGCTCTGGGAGGCAGGAGCCACAGGGAGGGAGTTGACTGTGAGCACAGGGATGGGCTTGGGGCTGCAATGGGCATGCTTGGGGCTGAGACAGAGACAGGACCCTGCATCCCCAGCGGGTATTGATGCAGACCCTTGACAGGCACTCAGAGGCCAGCAGCCACAGCATTGTAGAAAGCCTCCACCAACTGTCCCACTCAGGAACCTGTGTGGCTGGAGCTTCCAGCTTTTTAAGAGATGAAAGAAACTCAGAGGTTCTTATGAAATATTCTGGCAGAGATTAGCAACTATTTCGGAATCTGAAACCTTGGGGTGAGCTGCAGGTGCACAGCTGGGAAGCGGAGGTCAGGGCATGCACCCCAGGGTGGACACCGAGTCCAAGGGCCCACACTCATAGACAGCCAAGATCTGAACTCATTATGGGTGCAGGCTGTCATCCCCACTTTTTCCACAAGTGGAAGCTGAGGTCCAGAGGGGCAGCAAAGGGCTTCAGCCACACAAAGCTCTGTGCATCCTTTGGGGGCCAGCCTTCCTAGGGTCTGTCCCCAGGGACCCCTGGCTGAAGGCATCTGCCCTAGCCCGCTACCACTGGACACCGGAAGGGCTGTGAGAAGCAGGCTGCCCGCCCAGGGGCTCCGCACGCTGCCCATCCCATCGGCCTCACTCGTTTTGCACCCGCAGGAGTCAGGGTCCTGAGGCAGGGGTCTTTTGTGCCGCAGTGTATCCTGGTAGCAGGCCCAGGGACTGTGGTTGGGCATGATGCACACTTGAGCTGAAGGGTTTCCACAGGAGCGAGAGTAGAGACAAAAGAAAGGAGGAAATGGGATGGTGAGTGAATTGGGGCCTCTTGGCAGAGGTTGGTGATTGGAGCCCTGGCTCCTGCTGTAGGTTCCAGGGGGCTGCTGACAGACCTGTCAGGGAAAACACTCGGCCCAGAGGGGAGGGCTAGCCATGTCCCCCACAGTCCTGGGAAGAGAAAGAAGCCAGCATCCACCTGGGCCTGCTGCAGCCGGGTGCATGGCTCAGCCACCCTCTGGAAAGAATTACAACATAGAGGGCATCTTAGCAGTAGTGAAACTGAGGCCCAGAGAGAGAGATACACTTGCCCGAGGTCACACAGTGAGTTAGGGACCCAACAGGAGTCACTTGTTCACTTTTCATCCATTTGTTCAAGTAGTAGGCACTGGGGGTCCGGCCACTTGGATTTCTGGGACCCGGGGGTCGGGTGATGCCCTGTAGCCTCTGGCCCTGCCACACGTCCAGCCTGGTTTTCTCCTACCCCCTCCCGCCCAGATCACCAGGCTCCAGCCAGTGGGCCTTCAGGGCACACTAGCTCCTTCCCGCCTCAGGGCCCTCACACATGCTGTTCCTCCTTTTTGCAGGTCTTTGCAAGGCTGCTCAGCGCCACCTCCACAGAGCACCCTTGCCCCAGTCTCTACTTTGTGTTTGGGTATTTGCCCTCTTGTTTAATTTCTCCCCACCTAGAACAGAAGCTTTGAGGGCAGCACCTACAACAGCGCCCAGCACATAAAAGGTGCTCAGTTAATATCTGCCATTAGCCTCATGTGGCCCCTGAGCACTTGGGTCTGGAGTTTTTTTCCCATTTTACAGATGGAAAGTTGAGGCTCAGAGACAAATAGTGGTTGCCTGGGGTTGTAAAGGTCGTGTTCTGACTCTCCGAGGTCCCCAAGTCTCAGGGACATAGAGTCAGCTCCTCCTTAGACACCTGGTCCCATTGCAGAGACCAGCAGAATGAAGCCCAGAGGGCCCCCAAGCCCCGGAACACCAGCAGAGGAGCATTCGGACCCAAGAGGGTCCAACTTGCAGCTGCGCCCATCCCCCAGCCTCCCAGGGGACAGCAGAGGTGGCAGGATCATTCCTCTAAAGTCCTGGCTTACTCCAGGACTCAGAGGCCAGGCTTGGGGGACTCCAGCCCTCACCCCTCCTGCATCTGCTCTAGGGGCCTCCCACTCCTGGAGTCTGACAGGGCCTGCGAACCCCAGCCCCTCTGAGCAGCCAGTCCTGGTGCTAGGCATCCAGGGAGGAGGAAGGACTTGCCCCAGTGTTGCTTGGAACATCTGCAGACAGGCTCCAACTGGCTGATTCCTCGGGGGGCCAGCTGCCAGCCGCGAGTCCTGAGGGTTCCAGGTCATCTCCCAGTTTTCCAGGTGGACCCAAGGGGCTCCTGGTGGTCCCTGAGGGGTTTCAGGTGCTCCCAGGGCTCCAAGTGGTCCTGAGGAAGTCTGCTGCTCCCTATCCACACACTCTCCCACCAACATGGCTTTCCCATTTATAAGGGAGAAACCTGAAGGCTGGGTGTGTGGGAGTGTTGGAAGTGGGTGGGGCCAGAACAGGCTTGGGGAGCAGCCCCACCTCACATTCTGCACATTCTTTCCTGGGAAGCCTGTTCTCCTGACTGCAGGACCCACCCTCATCCCTGACCTGATGGATTTCTGGGCTCCCTGTCCCGCTCACAGGAGCAAAGCTCTGAGGGAGACCCTGCAGCCTGGGAAGGACGGTCACTTGGCCCTGGTGCCACCTCCTGATTTACAGGTTCCTCTCCCTCAAAGCCCAGGTGATCTCAGGTCTCTGCCTGCTGGGTCTCAATGGCACCGTTGGTGGTAGTGTGCCAGAGGTCCCTGAGGATGGTGGCATACCCATGCATTCCCCTCAGCCTTGTCCCACACTCCCAATGCCCAAACCCAGCCCTCGCCCCATGCTGACCCCCAACTGGACTCGGCTCTCTAACCAGAAGGGCCACAGACACAAGGCTGTGCCTGGGGAATTTCCTGCAGAGGAGAAGAGCTAGCAGCTGGGGTGGGTCACCTGGCAACCCAAGATCCTGGAAAGGGAAGGTGTACAGGGAAGGGACTCCACCTCAGCCTCCTGCATCACAAGCTCACTGTCCAGTTCTCCAAGTCCCTGTGCCAAGGGTTGGCCTAGGATGCCCGTGTGACCCAAGACAGCCCCTAGCCACAAGGGCTGGAGGGGGCCAGCACTGCTGTGCTCAGAAGGCCATTCCGGAACCAGATGGAAGAACCCCCCCCCCCGAGACCCAAACCAGGACAGGGTGAGCAGAGGCAGGAAGAAAACCGTCTCTGACTTCACCTGAAGCAGATGTGTGAGAATAAAGCACGTGTGGAATCAGATTTCCTGTTCACTGTGTCACTGCCACACCCCCAGCCACCAATTGCAGGAACCAGCCTGCACCCTCTAGACGTCCTGCCTTGGCGCTATCTCCCCACCTGAATCCAGGTTGGCAGTATCTCTGAGAGGGACAAACTCTCCTCTCTCCTGCCAGGGCCAGGCCTGCCTGGGAGCCCAGTCTTCAGCACTCTGGCTGTACCCCTGTAAATGTGCACACACATACCCCTGCACCTATCCTGCTTCTCGGTGCTTTATCAAAGCTCAGAGAGCAAATGACACCTCCAAAACAACATTTGCCCCCAATGGGGAATCAGAAAAGTGCTGACAACTGAGCGGCCCATCCACTTCTCGGAAAAATTAAATTGGAATCATTCCCAAGAACTCCGCTTCCCAGAGGCAAGGAGTAGCCATTAACTGTGTGTGGCCCTAAGCGCAGAACCCTCCAGCGTTCTCTCCTCTGTCCTCCCAAAACTGCAGAGGAAGAGGCTATTGTCTTCACCTGACTCAAAGAGGGGAGCCACTGCAGCTCAGCACAGAGGGGCTCTGTCTTAGGTGGGCCCCCAGCACCTTAGAACAGGGGGCTCATGCCTTAGGTGGATTTCCAGGAGCTCAGAACGGGGTGGGGCTTGTCTTAGATAAGTTCCCAGTGGTTCAGAATGGGGAGCGGGTCTCACATCTTAGGTGGTTCCACAGTAGCTTAGAGCAGGGGTCATGTCTGACGTGGGTTACCAGTAGCTAAGAGCAGGGGTGGGGGCTTGTGTTAAGTGGGGTCCCCAGTATTCAAGAAGGGGACCTGTGTCTTAAGTGGGTTCCCAGTAGCTCAGAGCAGGGCAGGGGGCATGTTAG